TGAGGCTTTATCACAGAGGGGTGAGAAGATAGACAAGAGTGTTCACGCATGTGTACTCTGTTGACTGTATCAAATAAATCAGTTGAAGGTTAGCACCAGCCCGTGTTGTTTACGTGTATTCATAGTCCGTTTTGTTCGCGCTTTTAAGTCCTCCAGTTCTTCTAACTGCTGGAGGGGATAACGAACAACCACGCTATGTTGCTGTCGTCGAAGGTCTTCTTGTAAAGCGCCCCCTGTCGAATGGAGAACGTAGGCAGGATTCGTATGAAAGCACGGGACTTCCTTGTCCATCTGGATGCACGATAAGTGCTCGCAGTTCCAGGTCGTCTTGTTAGAGTGCTGCCATGTCGCTGACATCCAGAGCGCCAAGAAAGCACTCATCGTCGTCGTATTTGGTGCAGGCAGAACCGGCCTAGACGGGGGCCCTTGCCAGGCAATCGGCTCATTGTGCTTCCGGCTGGACTTGTACCTACGGTCATATCGATATCCTGCAGTCGTATAGGCTCCACTGGGCGAGGCGTTCGGAAGGCCCCTTTAGATTGTTAAGCCAGCAGAGCGAATGGTGGCCTGTGACCACGCGGAAAGGACTCTCGTACATATACGGGCAGAACTTCGGTAATGCCAAGAAGACAACAAAGCACTCCTTTTCAGTCGTTTGGTAGATCCTCTCCGCCTCAGAGGGCGTCCGACTTGCGTTGACGATTTCCTGCTCTGCGTCCTCCTGTCTTTGGAACAGTACTACGCAGAGTCTGGTGTTAATGACACCCCTGTGAATATCTGTTTCAGCGAACTGGTCGTAATGACCAAGAATCGGGGGCGCCTGGAGTTTTCGTTTACGGTCATCAAATGACCGCTGGTGTTTCTCTTTGCACTCAAACTTTACTGAGTCCGCTGAGAGGTGCGTCAACGGTGCTGACAACTTGGCGAAGTCTCGAGAAAACCGCCTGTATAGTCACACAGTGTCCAAGAAATCTGCTTTTCGCCTTCTTGTCAGATGTCGGAGTAAATTCGTGCTACGGCGCGTGTCTGATCAGGGTCTGGCCGCATATCGTTGCACACGACATGGCCAAGGAACTTTAGTTCATCATAGGCGAACCGGCACTTTTTTGGCTTGAGTAAAGGCTGGCGGTTTTTGATAGCTTGAAGTACGGCTCGCAATCGTCTCAGGTGTTTGTCTAAAACCCGTGGAAGTACTTCGACATCGTCGAGATAGACGAGGCAGCCCTGCCGTTTCAGACCTGCCAGTAAGGTGTCCACGACAGGCTGGAAGGTGGCTGGTTCACTTTCAACTCGTACAGTCTGTCGGGCGTGACGAAGGCAGTTTTTTTCGTAATCACATTTGTTGACCTCAATTTTCAAGTAGCCGCTTTCAGGTTCAGCGACGAAACATATCGGAAGTGGAGCAGCCGGTTTAAAGTATCGTCGATGCGGGAAAGGGGATAGGGTTTTTTTTATTGATTTTTTTTTGTCGCACAGAATAGTCCACACAGAATCTAAGAGTCTCGTCCTTTTTTGCAAGGATGACTGGGGACGCGCACAGATATCTTGAATGTTAAATGATGTCGTCGTCGAGCACCTTCTGGACTTGATCTTGAACTACCTTCTGAACTTGATCATAAATCGCCGTATCGAGTCTCTTCAAGGAGACTTGGTACGGCGATTCTCTTTGGAGGGCATCGTCGTCAGTAACGGTGCGCGTCTCCGTGGTACGGGGAGTCTTCTTGGAGCACAAGGAGCGCATCGTCCTCAGTATCAATGCGGTGCTTCGCTACCGTTGTTTGTCACATCCCTGACGTGGCGAAACAATCGACAAGCTCGCCCAAAAAGTCAAGCAGCCATTTTCTTTCAGTGGCCGGAAGCTCCGGGTCAATGTGAAGTTCCGTGGGCGGCGTTCTTTTGTGCTGTGATGAAATCGGCTCTTCCGAAGGTGCAGCGGTCGGAGCTGAGTTCCGGAGTTCGCGATACCTACCGGGAGCTGTTGCGACTCTTGTCGAAAATGTCTAACCAGGACCATAGCACGCCCACCTTGAACATTTATTTTTGCTATTAGTACACAGCTTCCTCTGTCTAGAAACGACTGGACGCTTCCCTCGAGCAGAACTTCGCCAAATACAGATTTATCTGACCCGACGGGTACGAAAACACTCGACCATGGCGGTACGTTCACGTGGCTTTGAGGACGTGGTGTTGGGTTCTTCCGGTGGTTCGACAGGTTTTCCCAGTGTCAACCGGTTTGCTCCCATTTTGATTACGGCGGCGTACTCACGCAGAAAATCTATTCCGAGGAGAATGTCCCTCGCACAGGCTTTCAAAACGACGACATCCTTGGGGCAGGTCTCACCATGGATCTCAACACGCGCACTACACATTCCTGGCGGAGTTATTAGGTACCTGCCGGAGGCTCATATTTGGGGGCCATCCCACGATGTCGTCACTTTCCAAAGATAGCGTGAAAGCCTCCCACTCAGGACGGAGTGGTATGCTCCGGTGACCACGAGTGCCCATGTCTCGTGGCCAACGTCCCGTTCCGGCTCTTGGGCACCATTGTAGAAGCGTTGGTCGAGTGGGAGCTCCGGCGTCCTTGTAGTCTCTTTAGGTCGTTGGTATACGGCAAATCCACCTCCAGGGGTTGCCTTTCTTAGTTTTCCCAGCAAGGCAAGGGCAACCCAGCTAGGCAAGGGTAACTCACGATAGGGTCCGTGCTCCGGCGAAGCTGGATGTCGTGGTGATGGCGGCCGGGACGCGTGGCACGGTGCAGTAGGGAAAGACTGAGTGCATCAGAGGTACCCTTCGATCTCCAGCGGTCGCTCAACGTAGCGTATGGGGGGGGGGGGGTGTTGTTTGGTTGGAAGGTGCGCAGTCTTATTTGCCGGTAAGCTGCAACGGCGGTAAATATAATCGGCTTCCCCGCACTGGTAGCACAGCGACCACTATTCGTCCGTCGCCATACGTCGGGTTTTCTCAGCAAGGGTACAGCGGCGTCACATTGTGCCGTCGGGGTGACGCCAGGTATTGACGGGTAGCAGGCGACAGTCTACGGGCCATGGCGGCGTAACTCAGCGTCGGCTGCTCTGGTGCGTTGACGGGTACCTCTGTTTGGAGCGCCCAGTGAACTTCTTCGCGGACGGCCTCCGGAATTTAGAGGGATTCCGGAGGACTGGAGGCAGTCAGTAACTTTCAAAGCCCCAGGAGGGGCACCGAAAGTTACTGACTTGAAGTAGTTCCATTTAGACACAAGTTCTATGGTAAAAAACAAACAAAAACAGACTGACTTCGCCTGATGCACCAGCTTACACTACTCAGCCTGCAAAAACAAATACAACACATTGAAAAAGTACAAGAAGAAATAGCAGCACATCAACAGCAATCAGAACACCATATGTTTTACAGAGTTTATATAATCGTCAGTGCTTGTCCTAACATTTTATAAAGGCAAAATGAACCACGCAATACAACACACAGGCAGTAAAACAAATTATTTAAGTATTTACTCAACGTGACATGACAGAAGGTATCGTTGTATTGTATGTTTGAAGCTGTGTCTCGAACCACAATCTGAAATCATTTCCATAACGGTTGGAATTTATTTTAAGGACACCCATATAAAGAATGCTAATTGATGATGTCCACAATTTGTCCTAGCCCAAAGTATTCTGAGGAGCCATGTCAAAGATTGTATTGTTATTTAATAGGATGTGCGTCCAGAAACGTAACTGGCCTTTATTTTTTCATTATAGATACGCATTGGAAGTTAAGGAGGAATTGATTACTGATAGTTACAAAACAGTTTAAAAAAGAAGAGTGCTGTGTGTTCAGTAAGCTGAAGGTTTTCAATGCAATGTACGGCATTTTTGCTGAAGAAACAACCAGTCAATATAAATTTAGTTGTTGATCCCCGAACTAATATACAGAAATGGAGATGAGAGTTCACAAATGTATAGTACAACTGACGTTTTAACCAGAATAAAAAAAAATCAGTTTTTTTTTGTATAAAATGCTAATAGATCTAGAACTGCTCCCGTGAATTTTATTCATATAAGGCGTCCAGCCTAGATTTTCTTCAAAAATATTTCCTAAGTATTTATAGACGTTGATACGCTCAATCAGATTCTCAGAATTTTAAAATAATTTTACAATCATCAGGTTCACTTTGTGGCTTAAGCATTGCATATATTGTTTTCGTAAAATTTAGCTGCAGTTGATTAGTCCGATAACTCGTTGAGCCACTTGTTAGCAGTAATTTCAAGATCACGCAAAAATGAACCAGAAAAAAAAAGCTTGTGTCGTCGGCATGCAAAACAATTTTAGTAGTGTTTCGCATACATACAGTATTAGTATTATGAATATTAATATACAGAGGATCTAAAATAGACCCCTGTGTAACCCCATATAAAATTTATTCTGACATGGACCAAAATCCATTAAAACACGTGTATTGCCACTGACAAGACAAGTAACTAAGTACCAAATCTAAAGCAACACCTTGAATTCCCTAGAACGAGAGTTTATTAATCAAGGTATCCTGCTTGACAGAATCAGTCGTTTTTTTTTTTTTAAATCAAGAAATATTCTAATTTTGAGGCAATTAGTTTATTTTCAAAAGGGTTCATTATTTTACTTCGATAAGAAATAACGTAATTTCGGTTGACCTTTTTTGTTTTGAAAACCATATTGCTTTATTAAAAAAACAGCTCTTTTATTGAAAAGCGTGCTGAAGCGTTTTTGTCAGATATTATTAAACTTACGTAAACAAAGTAAGCACATATATGGGCGTATTCCTATGAATTTTTCAAAGAAAGCCTCCTCTGTAGAAAACATGAACTCTAGTAATTGTCATGCCACAAGGAATCGTGCACGTGGCTAATGTATTGTCACTTATATGCTGCAGAGGATAACGCAAAATGAGGTATACTATTACCTCTCAAATTGTTGTAATTTTTATGTATCTAAATTGTTTTCTTGATTTCGCGGAAAATGTTTATAAAAATGCAGTGACTTACAAACTTGTGTTCTCCAGAATATTCTCGAGATCATAAATATACTGCGGCTGGATCAGAATTACTCGTTCACTTGTGTCAAGGGTTATATTGGCGTGTGAAAACACACTGTTCAGTATTTGCATCCATTTAATCTGGAATGCCATTATTAAAAAGAAAACACAAGGAGGATTATCTTTCTGCAAACTGATATCTAGGCTCATAAAAAAGGTTAGGCCATAGGAGTATATGAGAGTGGCAATAGAAATGCAGATAATTGTACTTTATGTGGGAGCTTTTACCCCTTCTGATATTTCTAAAGTTTTGTCAGGCAAACTGTTTTGTTAACGCAGGCGTTCAGAAATAATTTTGTAACGTCCTTTGAAAGTGTCTCTCGGAGTTCGTCGCGTAACTATAAAAATATTATTTTATTCGTTTCATGTTTCAGAACAAACTGATGGTCACAGTGGGGTCACAGTGTATTGCGTTCAAAATTCCACAAAAACTCCACAATTATATGAAATTCCGTTGGAACGCAACAAAAACAAATGAAACAAACGTATATAACAGAGTTAGGATAACATAATAATTCGGTATAAAAACGAATATTTTCCATGATACATGGCCGTGTGCGTAGCCGAGTTGGCGGCGCACGTGGGTCCCACCCGGAAGAACCAGGTTCGGAACCTGTTGACCCAGTTCTTTTTCTTCCTTTTTTTCAAATTACAATCCGTTGCTTTACTGGAATGATCTCGTCTATGCTTGACAGATATTGTATGTTTTGGTTTAGTGCCTTGTTGAACATAGAGCGCGTATGAAAGCTGCTGCAGCCAACGAAATAGAGTCAGTCATAGGTCAGTGCTTGATTCTCATGTTATGCTGAAATTGGCGACAGTTATTGTATTTTATTTTGACACGTAGAAGCTCGATCGCCACATTAATTCTTCAGTTTCCTTACGTCTTCCACTATTTCTTCAATTGTCACTCATGACATCAGTAGTAGATTTGTGGGGCGCACGTTACGCATGGACCACACCATGGGAAAACTCGTCATTTAAATCCAATTCCACCGCCCTGTCGAGAAGCAACCTCTTGAATTTTATTTTCTGCTAGGTAAGAACGAGCAGAAACTAAAGAAGTCAGTGAACTTCTATGTTCGGCAGTCCAAGATTCCTTTTAGAGGGTGACTTGTGCTGACCTTGCCTGTGGGGCTTCGCAAGCAAACTTATTCCCTGGCGATGCCCACGACGATGTTGAGGACTGTCTTCATTACTATGAACGTGTGGCTCTTTGCGAAGCATAGCACCTCTAGGTCGTCTAGTGTTGACTGGAGGGTACGGCGAGGCACTGGTTTGATAACTGTGAGGCTGTTCTTAGGTTTGGGAAACCTGCGTTAAGGAACTGAAGCGGACCTTCACAAGCTCGGCAAACAACACAGGCGGCAGGGAGTAGATGAGCTCCTTCAAACAAAGAAGTCAAGGACCCATCAAGAATGTGACAGGCTGTATAGAAGATGTGCTACGGCTATGTATCTGCGTTAACCATGGAGTCACCGAGGAGAAACTATATTTGCGCCCACATGAGAGGCGGTTAGCGAGAAATCTGTGATATCCTTGTAGAGCACAGCTCTTAGGCGCCCGTTTCTGGGTTGAACGGCGTCGCTGTCGCCGTCGGCCTTACCGCGCGTTGCATTATGGGACGTTTCCTATAATGACGTCACACATGACGTCACGTATGACGTCACAAGGGTAACATTTCCTCGCTAAATGAGGAGAAATTTTTTTCCGCTAAATTTACCGGGGACATTTTACGTTCGTGACGTCACATGTGACGCCACTCTACCGGGGAAATTTTACCGCTAAATTTAGCGGGAAAGTGTTTCCGCTAAATTTAGCGAGAAAACTTCCCTGCTAAATTTAACGGAAAAATTTCCCGCAAAACTTTCCGTGAAAGCTTTACCCTTGTGACGTCACAGGTGCGTCATGTGTGACGTCACATTCATTCACTTGACGTCACGCAAAATTTAGCGGAAAAACTTCTCCTCTAAATTTAGCGCAAAAAAGTCGTTGTAACACTTTCACGTGGCATGTTATTCTACAATAATATTACAGCTATGTCCCAAGCATATATGGCGTTTCCAATCTTCCATCTTTTCGACGGGTACTTGAATTTTTAGGACAGATATGAAATTGTAGCTGCATCCAGCGACTCTTCGCACGGCAATTCTGTAAATCCGCACCTATCTGTTAGGTTCTTCAAAGAACCTGACTGGTTGTTCGAAGCAGTCAGGTTCGAAGAGGTTCGTCGAAAGCTCGCCTCAGGGGCTTCAACTTGCCCGTAAGTAGAACTTTCGCATAGCGTGGAGAAAAATTACAGATTATAGCGTGGAGAAAATTACAGGTAAGCCGAGCACCGCGGAAGATGACGACACTTGTTTTAGTAGTAGTCCAGGGCTTCAGCTCTGCGTAAGCTACGGTAGCCTTTACAAGCTGACATGAGCAAAGTGACACCCAGTATGCGTGAATGGGTTTCAACTGTGAGACGTCTGCACTTTTTTTAGCAGATAAGCCAGAACTGGCTGTATTCTTGTGGGAGTGGGATTGCTACCCAGATGCACCCTATTTTTAAAAAGGTACTGAACACTAGATATTTAATTAATTTTAAATTAATTAATATCTAGTGTTAAGCCTATCACGATGATGTTACAAACGATTGAAGCAACCCGCAAAAGGAAGGTGAAACAATTGCACGCGAACGCGTGCTTTTTTTTCTGCCTCTAAAATGATGTAGATGGAAAAGGAATTTACACAACTCGGAAGTTACATATCTTTGACATTCATTAATGACATTTATTAAAAAGCTTTTGTAAGTCATCATGAATAAACCAGGCCACTATTTGGTTTCGAGAAATGTCATGAACAAAGCACGCAAATGGCAGACATATAAGTTTTCCATCATCTGCGCACTTTTTACGAGTGAGATAGAAATAGGCGGTGTCTCTGTTGATACATGTGCTCGGTCGAGCTATGTGTGGTGCATTGATATGACGTTTGATCGAAATCCTAATTATAATTTCCGATGAAAAGGAAGACGCAGACGACGTGAGAATGAGAAGCGCGCAAGTGATCGTGTTTCAACATTTTCGTTTTAAAGAAGCAACAAACCGCAAGAAGGGTTATATGCGCAGGAGCAAAAAAATCGAGTTTTACAGCGAAGCTGTTTATGGCTAAGGTCCCTCGGATTTTTCGTATGCGTGAGCAAAAACTCTACGCTCTCACCGCCGCACATGCCGCTCGCGCACGCCTTCCCCGTATAAAAGACTCCAAGTAAATAACCAAAATAAAGCTTTGACGAACGCGCGTGCAAGATGCCTATTGTTTTAGGCTTTTGGTTTAGAACTGTTACTGCTGCAGACGCCGGCACGTGCGGCGCGTGGAACACCGTTTCCTGAATTTTCCTTGATGCTTCGGTAATTTCACATTAGGTCTATTCAGTAGATTAGTTATTAATAGGCACCATGTTCAATATCAGTTGCCTCTAAGGTAGATAATAAAGGTTTCTAAAAGATTTGCCGCAATGCGACCCGCGTAGGCCATGTCTACGCACGCTCCGCCCTAAGTCCGTCGTCGCTCCAAGCGCATGCATGCCTAGTTTCCTTTCCTTTCGTTCTCCCGAGGTGGCGGTCCTGTCGCGCGTGTCTACTTTCCGCCAGGTGGCGGTCCCGTCGCGCGTGTTTACTTTCCGTCAGGCGGCGGTCCCGTCGCGCGTGTCTAGTTTCCTCTGGCTCTTCGTGGCGGATCTGTGTCGTGTGCTAAACAACTTCGCTGGTCATCCAGTAGAATGGCCCATGAATTTTCATATCTTCTTTACAATTCCCCCATTTCTATTTTAAATTTGGTGATGATGTTTAGTGATCATTTGCAGTGGCTTGGTGCAATAAAATTATAAATTTCGCATAGCCAGTGCCTCTATAAGAAACTTCCTTTCGTTTCTTTGGCTAACTGGCTAAGTTTTTCTCCCTTATTAGTAGAACAAATTTACTATATGGAGTTGTGTGTGTGTGCACGCGTGATCTTTTGCATTGTGTATTGTGTTATATCTCTTCCGTCTATATTTTATTTTCGCCTTCTCTTCTCCTCGCACGCAAACATGAGCCAACCCGGAGTGTCAGCCTAGATTAATCTTTGTTTTTATTTTTATGATTCCCATGTCTCTCCCTCATTTCAAGAACACTATTTTGGGTTAACTTCCCAAATGCTTAGACGGAAGTTAGAAGGGATCTTTTGGGCTATTTTGCAGTGGTACGTGGAGAATAATTCCCCTCAATGTAACCAAGTGCACGTTGTTCTGTCACGTCCAGATGCAGCTCGTTAATCGAGATGTACGAGTAGTGTACAGGTTCCGGCTTATCCCAACAAACATACATATAGAAGAAGGATTTTAATGTGCGCCCCTATTAAGTAGTTCGGAAACGCGTTGTCATAAATGTGACTATTAAAGTTCGCGGTCCGCTTACCTTTGGAAACTCTTCGGTCAAAATGGAGATATTCGCTTCGTTGTACAGCAATGAAGCGTTACGCCTGTTTACGGTCGGTAAGGAGATCTTAAATAGAATGAAAAATGAAAGTCGAATGAGGGTCTGCATTTTTATGTGCTTGACATCTACCCCTCAGTATTTCTTTACTAGTTAGAGTTTTTTTTTCTTTCTGTCTAGTTATTTAGTTTATCGTTAAAACACGCCTGGGAGACCTCCCGTGGTTGGGATGGGTGCCAAACGTTTACGTCATTCTTATTGAGACGCTCAAACATATACTTTGCATAATCAGAGTGCAGTGAGGGAATAATTTTACAAAACACAGTTATGTACAAGAAGCGGAATCGAAAAAAAAATTAAAATATAAGTTTGTGCTCCTATATAGGTTACACATAAGTGTGCACATTTACGACACTTCTTTGACAACTGAACATAATTTCAACAATATTTTGCCGAGTAAAAAGAAACTATTAGAAAATGTGTTTCTCCTGGGAACTGTACATTTGATATCATGTCCACTGGCTTTAATATAACTTAACTCTTCTCTTACGTCAACATGCATAGCTTGCAATTCACCTCGTGAATGTTCTGTTTTACATTTCTATATGTTACGCAAATCAAAATTTTTAAAGCCTTTAAACCAGTCAGTGATTTCAAGACTGATGAAACATTTACAAATGTCTGATTGTAAAAATCAATCATTCATAAATGTTTCATCAGTCCTGAAATCACTGATTGTGATTGTGATAACGTGCAAGCTAAAATAAGCACTGCCATCTTAACTCAATTATGTCCATGATAAATTTTGCTTTACCTCAGAGCTCCATGACAAATATACCAGCGCTTAACATAGGCAAGGATTTGAAATACTGTAGAAAGTATCGACAGCCTCATAAAATTGTATTCGGTAGAACTGGCCTGAAATTTGGTGCTTGTGAAACTGTGTTGTGTCTCAGTAATCGCCAAATGGATAAAAGTGCGCGCTTTATACAATACCTTGAACTCAGGTGCATATAGAAAAAGCGTAGAATTGGTCTAAATATCATGAATACTCTTGTTTTCGGGAAATAATTAAAAAAAACAGGAGAGGGCTGTTGCAAAATATTGAAACAAATATCACCTGAGGTAACATTAGACAAAAGATTAAAGTTTAAGATTTTCAATCCAATAGAGGAAAGGAAAATATATTACCTTTGCGAGTTTTGCCTCGAACTGCAAAATTTCTTCAGAAACGTCCTGTGCCTCCGTCCCCTTGTCATTTGTATCGCTTCTGAAGAGCTTCACAGATGTACTAATAAGTTCTTTGTAGGCCTGTACTATTTTTTTGTTGGTTTCTTTAGTTTGGTGAATCAGCTGGCTTCGATCAAGCCAGCTAAACGTAATTCGGTCGAGCTTGAGAAATAACGAATAATATAATTAACAAATGTATAACTACTCGGAGCACTGAAAACGTGTACTGACGTGGTGTATACATGCATTAGGTTTATTTGCTGCTTATTCTTATGCATATAAAAGCACTGGACTTAAGTAATACTAAGCTTGCAACTCTCCAAATGTGAACATGTGTGGAAACGAGTTTACACAGTGCAAACTGTGTAAACTCGGCGCTGCACCCTCAATTTCAAACTACTCTGACTCTTCCATCCTTTCCCGCACACTTTCGACCGCTCAGACGTTTGGTGAAGGAAGCGTCTACAGTACCTTTCTTGTCTTACTCTAGAAGTGCAAGGTGGCATTGCTGCCCCCGCCTCCTCCCCCCCCCCCCCTCCTCCCTAGATCGTGTTCTCTGTGAATTCAATCGCGGGACCGCTCTCGTCCACGCGATTGTAACACCTCCTCTTCTATCTCAGCATAATAAGCCCGAGCTTCAATGTGCGTGCCAGAGTGCCAGAGTTAAGTTAACTAAACTTTAATCTCGTACTCAACAGCGGCACATCGGTGACTGTAGCCAAGCCATGACCATACGCAGCTATGCGTATACACCAATATGCGCCAGCTTTCAAGTCACGGACGGCTTACAACTCGTAAACCCAAAAACTAAATGATTGATTGGATATCATTATTGTAGTCAGCCTCTCTAGAATGAATTGTAGCCAAGAAAATGCGACCGTAAAAATGTGGCGCGATAGAACGATCTGGAAGGAACCGACTCCCCAATTTCGCCACGAGAACGTTTGCGTATATATATATATATATATGTCACGTGACATGTACTATGCTAGTCCGTATGTAGTCTTCAAGACAAATTAACGAGATCGCTTCTTATATACTGTGCTGCATGCCTTATAGAACTTTGAAGGTAAAGGCAGATGCCTACATTTTTTTGCTCCTGCTTTGCGAAAAGTAGATTTTACTCTGAAGTCTGACAAACAGGAGTCCTTTTGAAGCTTTGAACATTGTGTGTTCCACTTAGACATGTGTGATGGCGTTCGTTTTATAACGCATGTGCTGTTTCATGACGGCGGTGTGCGAGCTGACGACACGGCAAGCGACGACGCAGCTCGCGCGCGTGCACTTTTGAGGGACAGGGGGAGACGCGCGACGGCGCGTGCCGGGTGAACCGCTATCTATACTGTGACGGCCGCAGTGTCTCCTGCATGAGCGACGGTCGCTTCCTCCGCAATACGTGAGGCAAAGAGATTGTGGCAGTACTCTGCTTCGCAAGCGTAGAACACACAGTCACCCTATTTTCGGGTAGACCCTCTTCAATACAATCGCATGTGTCGGTTGGGTTTTTAAAACCAATAGCCGCATTTTCACGGGATTGGTCACGCGAAATCTCTAAAGTGTCGGGGACTCGGTGGAGCCCGAATGCGAATATTGCGACCAGCGGGACATAGATAAAATGAGGCAACGATTTGCCGCTGTTTACTTGATGTCGGGGGATAGCAAAAAGGTCTTTCGGATGTCAAGTGCGCCGCCAGAGTGATTCGACGACCCCCTCCCCCCACGTTCCCGAGGTTGGGCATTCTCTATCACGTGACTCGTTAGTTGAGAACACTTTATTCTGGTTTACTTCCTATAACTTGAGCGCCTGCAATGCGGCATTGAGGTTGAGCGGCATTGTTCGCGCGTAAAAAGCGTTGAGAAGCAACGGGAGGGTTTGGAGAAAAGGTGTTCAATACTTACGTATATCACATATTTTTCATTTCTTTTAGCGTCCTGGTATACTTGAAAATGAATGAGTGGCGAAAAACCTGTTTTATTGAGCAGCTCATTGTAGGTACTATAAGGTGGATCTTCCCCTTTCAGTATTGGCCACTTGGTAAATCCTTTCTCCTTTAGTAATTTCAGCAGGTCCTCAAATTTGTTTCCCTCGTCCACAGCTGTTTAATAAATAAAATTATTCAAATAGTGTCCGTTGCACATATATTTTGAGCAAAACTTAATTTTTATAAAAATTTTCCGATACAATTAAGCCGAATAAAATAAATGTATTTTTTTACGCCCTTTTGTGTTCCTTGTTGTCGATGCGCTCATCCAAATTTTAGTTACAGGAATTATTTCTCCCCATTTCAAATAAAAATAGGAGTGTGACCACATTTTAGTTTTGAATTCGAATCGAATAATGGTTGTCCGAATAATTTAATTCGACTGTCACTATCCTAGCATTCGAGATCGTAAATATTTCGATGCATCGAATTTAAGGACTGGAGGCCAAAACACAGGTTTTATTCAGCATCGCAGTTCATATGACGAACTAGTCCTTACAGGCCTGTGTTGGATCTAAACAAAGCATACATATACGGCAGTCTTGACTAAGGAATCACTTTGTAAAATAGCGGGAAACGTTTCCCGCTAAATGTAATAATTGTCCCACTAAATTTAGTGAAAAAATTAGCGAAAAATTTCCCGCCAAACTTAGCGAAAGAGTTTCACCGTCAATTAGGCAGAAATGTCTCCCTCAAAATTCAGCAAACATTTTACCGCCAAATTTAGCGGGAAAATGTTACCCTCGTGACGTCACACGTGACGTCACGTCCGATGTATTTATGGGAAACAATGCAACGCGCGAGTACGCCGAAGGCGACGCCTTTCAACCCGGAAACCGGCGCCTAAGACACGAGCCGTAAAAGCATTGTTCATTTCATGTGCTCCTCGAAGGAAGCAGTCATGCTCCCGGCTTCTCGAGTACGCTCTACGAAAACCCAGAAACCACCCATATTGACATTTGGAATTCCAAGCATCTTGCAGCACCTGCTGCAGCCAGCTCTGCGCACTATGAGGGATCGGCGGCTAAGAGTGTAAGCGCCACGTAGCAAGGACACTCGTTGACCTGGGCCAAAGCCTCCTCTGTACTGACAAAGCCTGACAGATCGCCATGAGATGCGGCCGCCGAAACTGAAAAGGTAGAGCGGCAGACAACGGATGAGAGGAAAGCCAGGTGATAGGCGGCCCGCTGCGGCGAGAGGCTGAAACACACTTCTCCCGAGCGATGAAATGTCCGCTCGTGCTCCTCGCGTTCCTCGCGCTACCGTTTATTTTCTCGCCGGGTTTGAGAACCATGTTTCGTGTCCTCGCCACTGCAAGAGCTGTGCGCTGAATACCAGGTTCTTTGAAAAATTTTCTCTGCTACCAAATCCTCGCCCTCCCAATCTGCGATCGGGCATTCTGTGACTCCGTCGTCGAACTGCCAGGCTTTGTGAGCGTAGACGATAAAATGCCTGGGCTTAATCCCCTTCCCTGCACATTTTGATCTGACCGAGCATCATACCGGCGTGCAGTGATGTATCTGGGATGCAGGCTAAAGACAACATGCTAGTAGTGGGACTGCACCGGCCAAATGTCTGCTCTTCAGCCGAGACACCAGACGTCCATTGAGGCTGATTAGCTTCCCGCTGTCTTAACATACACACAACGTAAGTATTAGTGTGCACTATAGATCGTTTTCTTGGTGGCAACGTCCATAATACGGCAAATTATGATCAAAATGCAAATAATATGCGATAATGAGCCCGGCCCTTTCCGTTATATATATTTCAAAAACCGGAGACGACGTACGAAAAAGGGGGCAACACACAGCGAGTAGCTGCGTTTGAGACGTCTTGTATGTTGTACCTTTTTTCGCCCGTCGTCTGCGGTTTTTCAAAAATGTGTAACATCAAGCAGCTCCTCCTGCTTACTCTCTCTATCTTCAACGCTTTCGTTAGCCCATCGCCCTCACTGCGTTAAGCGAAGTGCCAGGACTAAGTGACGTAAGACGTCACAAAATTCAAACTGTTGAGACTCAGCCGTCATTCATCCAGCACGCTGCGTTTCCGTACGTAGATGGGTGGACACATCAGTTAGCTGTGTCTTACGCTAGTCGTTTGAGTGTTTTCGTAACACTGTTGATAGTCGCGCTAACCCCTCCTAGTTCCATATGTTCTTCAGAATAAATATATAGTTTTTTTTTCTACGGATATATGCTGTTTTCATGTCTTGTAGATATCACTATTAACATTTTTGATATCCACTTTTGATTTGACATTGAATCTGTTGGCTTCTAAACAATGCGAATTTGATTTCAGATTAAATTTTACGTTTCTCACACCTCTTATATAAAATATAAAGTATAATCATATTCTGCCTATATTTCTATATGCATATAGAGACTGCCAATATATAACTGTCTATATAAATATGCCTATATAAAGCTGTCTATGTGTGTTTTAAGGTAGAACACGTATTTTATCCCCCCCAGCAAACCCGTTGCAATGCTGTAACGACAAAACGAGAATTCCCCGCTCCATTTTACAGTCCAAACAACCGCCACCAAATTCATCAAATGTTTGGTCTACGTAAAAAAATCCTGTACGCATGTTACGTTTATTTTTTCTTAAACACGGCCAAAACAGGCTTGGGCCTTTTGCGTAGCTATATCACTGTGAAATATGCAAGAACTTTTATTATTTAAGTGTAGAAAAAAGTTATCGTCAATTCACTACCTTTCGATAAAAAAAAAGGTACGTACTTTCGCAGACACAGACTTTGTAGGCACGAATAGCCTTATCAGTTGCATTTTGCGGCCCATCTTCCTTAGTCGTGGCGTTCAATAAAATTTCTAAATAAAAAAAGACACATGCTTAGTTCAATATTATATTTTTTTGGTTTAGGAAATTATGAATCTTCAGTGAAATGTGGTAATCGGCACTCTTAATAAATCGGTAGCCTCATGATGTTCTTTTATTGCTTCACAGGAAATGAATGGCGGTTCATGGCATACATTTGTAAACTTGTGCACCGGATGGCGATTCCACTAAATCGAAATACGGACCTACAATATTATTTTTCTCTCTACGTTAGCTCGTTACAAAAGCCACTCTATTTCAATTAAGATACGCTTAGATTATCGCCCCCGATTCGCCGATCTACTTGGCGGTTCCGCCAAATAGGTTCACAGTGCAGAGAGGGTGCAATTGGCGACAGTTTCGATTTTAAAATGAAACTTCCAAGCTTTAGATACGGCATCAGAAAGCTCCTGCGATATCGATTTGCTCCGTCGTAGACCACCACTTGAGTGCGAAAAACAGTATTCTATGATTTAAGATATAGCTTAAGATGACTGGGAGTAATAATCAACAAAACCAAAATGAATGCAGTGTTGTTACTCTGTAGCTATCTGAAGCGCAGCTTATATCACATATCTGAGTAAGCCCTCAGTGTAACTCTATGGTTTCATCACCCTTTGTGGTAATTATGCTTTTATTCAATTTGAAGCCTCAATCCGTTTTAACAAAAGAAAAGGTAGAAAATGCTGGAAAGATTAAGTAAAAACGGGTTCTTCGGAAGCCTGTTACTGGCAGACAAGGTTTTCCTAAAATTTAGGGACGCGTCTGTAGCCAAACGCCGGCTAGCAGTCGGAACAAGAAAACTGGAAGCTGGGCTAGTTAGAATTGATTCACAATTAAAAGATAAAAATTAAACACGTTAGACTGAGGTATAAAATAAAAATTAAATGAAATGCGTTTTTCCTCATTTCGTACATATACGTGTGTGTATACGTCCGCAACACATGTCCATGTATACCACATAAGGTGCTGCATCGTACCACACACCACTCATAAATATTCACACAATTCCGGTTTGTAGTGTGAGTGAAAAATGAAAGATGAGCGGAAGAAGACGACTAAATTGCGGCCGAGGTAGATATCTCAATTGGGTAAGCGCTGCGATACCCTGAAAAGAGCAATTGATCTTACGTTGTAAGATTTTACATTGTATACTGTACAATTACTATATCGCTACTTGATATAATAATTTTTCGTATGAATATAAGAACACACCACTTCCGCCACTATATTTGTGCTCATGTAGTGTATCGGTATTTTGTGGCAAAGAAATGAAACCCAATAAACGGTCATAATCACAGCCCACCCTCATAGCTATAAATGTTTAACAGATAATTCCCCATTGAACTAAAGAGGGTGAAGTGAATACCATAAGGAAAACATACGTGTTACGTCCTCCTCGGCTTTATCAGCAAGGATGTCATGATGTCCTATCATATTCTTGTGATCAGGAATCTGGTGGGACTTTTTCCAGTTTCCACACACGTAGGCATAGAAATCAGTGCATGGATCTTCGGTTTGGTTCATACCGTCCAGTATATATTTAGCTGCACAGAAATGTATTATTAAAGAGCTACTAAAATATAAAATGATCTGAGAAAAAAGGACTAATCTTCAATGCTGACGTTCACTTTGTGCGTGCGTTGATCTATCCCAGGACACGAGTGAAAGCATCTTAATACTGTGACTAATTTAAAAACAAACTTAGCAAAACATCCTGTCCTCGTCATTCTGAGAAACCCGGGTAGTCCTTTGATGATTGTGTATTGATAAAACAAATCGACTATTTACAGCCGTGCTACGTGTGCACGGTTGTTACATCCAATCTGGGGTTGCACAGCATGTGTCCTGTGTGCATTACACCTGCGTTAGAATTTGTTTTGCTTGGCTATGGGTAGCTTTGGGAGGTTTTGGATGCATTGCGCCCACTACACGCCTATGTGTACTACCAGTTTAGCAGAATGATTAAGACAAGTTTAAATATCTTAATGGGGGGAATGTGTGAGGAGTATGCTTTAATCAAAACTTTAAAAGAATTCTGCGTCTTTCAATGCTGCTTGTAGGACTTTATAATGGTACGCTCAGCTTTCTCTGAAGTCTGAAAGCTACCAACGCTACGAGCCAATGGGAATCAAGCTCCTCAAAAAGCGCTAGATTACTGAATTTTTGTGTTTTTATGAGTGATTTACAGCCACCGGATTCAGTCAAGCGCAAAGAAGGCGTCTTGAAATTGTGTTTTTTGTGTCTGCGTTTGTTGTGCCTAAACTGGGTTTTGAACCTTTCTGATAACTGAAGTAATCGCGCGGGGAGAAGGGTTATGACGCCTGTTATAATTTATTAACTTTCAAAGCCCAAGAAAACGATGACGAAGAAAAGAAAGAAGACACAAAACAGACCAAAAAAAGAGGAAAAAGCGAACGAGCTTGAAACCGCCGTAACTTGCCAACTAGCGCGGCAACCGATTTCAGTTCACTTTTACAAGCACATAACGAGCACACGATGCATTTGTCGTTCTAGTAGTCCTTTAGCATGGTCCACTTTATTGTTGTCAGTTGCATTGAAAGAAAACGGTAGCACTTGTTTTATTAAGAATTGCTTTCTCGCATCAGATATAGTTCTTTTTTTAACAATTGCTATGCAGCTTAGGTCGGACATTACTGTTTCAAATAATAGGAATAATATTTTCATTTCAGCTTCTTTGCGCTCTTGCAATCCTTTGTACAATGATTAAGCTTCGTGCACCGAACGTAAGGATAGTTCTCTTTCAAGTGTTTTCTTTCTATGATGCATGTGACAAACATAGGACAGTTAGCAACTGTTGTGAAGTTACCCAAGAAAGTCTGGTGAAGGAAAGAACATAAAGCATCGTTCCAGAGCGTGTACTTTACAATTATGACAGAGACTTGATTATTTCAGGAACCACCGAAGCGTGGCTTAACTGGCATCATCATAAGTCTCCTCTCCTGTTTAATATTAGAGTTTGCAAAGTTCTAAACTCCTAAAACTCAAAGCAAATAGCGTATTAAGCTCTAAATTTTTGGTCATAAAGTTTCACCGGGTCTATCGTTAGTTTATTGTACCGGATCACTGTACTTCTCTGAGTTGCAGACAAAGGATGTGGACATTTTCTAGCAGTGTTCTCAGAGCGTTGTTTTAAATAACTTTTAGCCGACGAATCCGACTTCAGAACACTATGTGGTGCGTGCTTCCACTTGTTTACCGGAAAACATGTCGAACCCGTGCAGTTTGTTTTCTGTTGACCGGTGTGGAAGAAGTTGCTCTCAAAAATGATCACCTTGGCGGTCACAACGAGTTACCTTACTGAGTTTTACTTGTACTGATGACAAACTTGATGGCTGCAGCGCAAGTCTATGAATCCACGAGAACCTCTCTTGAAAGATCGGGCAAAAAGAGTCTGCCCGAGCTGAAGAGGTGCTCTTTCGCGCGGTCCTTGATCACAGCGTAGCTTTTGTTTGAATTGCCTCAAAAGTACTTCCTTCCGTATGTCCGTGTGCATCAGGTTCAAGGTTTTCTTTAGCTTCCCGCCCATGAGCATCTTGGCAGAACCGTGGCATGTGAGCAAGCTTTCTCCCCTGATAATCGCTGTAATTCTTTATACTGTTACATATAGCTTCGTACTGGTCACCGTTATAACCTACCGGTCACCCCCACACAAATAAAGGTTTCCGGTAAACAGGTACAGGTCACCCGGTATCGTATACCGGCCACGCACAGGGGTTTGCTGTGGGTGGCCGGTATACGATTGAACTGTAATGAACTCATACGATTGAAATGTAATGAACTCATACGATTGAAATGTAATGAACTCTTACCTGTATCCCTTTACCAGGTACGCTGGTAAAGGGATACAGGTAACAATAAATCATATAGCTAAGCGGCCGGTACCCTTGTATCGGTACCGGTGTATTTATACGGTAGACCGGTATCCCGTACCGGTTGCCCATAACCACGTGCCGGTGGTCCATAACTACGTGCCGGTGGGCTGTACCGTCAGGCCAGTTTGTCATACAGGTATACCCAATAGAATTTTGAAATTTAACTTGGCATTCCCTCTACGAGTATCTCACATTCAATGCTCATTTGCATGGGCTCCTTAAAAATCTAAAAGTGTGTAAGGCAAACCAAACTAACATATCTACGGTTGTAATCTCCAACAAAAATCTCCAGACCTCCCAAAAACTACGCAGTGACGGAGGAAGTTTTGGTTTCCCTGGGTTTCCGACGGAGTCGAGATACTAATTTCATAGTCGAATGGACAAGTGAGCGAGTTGGTAAGAGTTCATTACAACTTACAACGCGACTAGGACAAAGACAGACAAAGGAGAAAACACAGGACAAGCGCTGAACTAGCAACTGATTCTATTGAAAACAAAATACATTTGATGCTGCTGCTGCTCGTGCAGGCATGCCCCTCCGTGACCCTGGCGCTTCTTCTATTACTCAACACGATACCGGTCAAATTATCAGAGATCCAAAAGGCTGATCTCGCTCTTCATCAAAGTCACCACAAACTACCCCGAGAAATGATGGAGACGTACCACATAACACAAAACGGATCCTTGTGTGTGAGCCAGCCCACAGTGACTTTGATGGACTTTGATGCACTTTTTAGACAAACGTCGAAGCTTTTTTCTCGAGCCGGCTTCACACTGAAAAAAGCCCGTGCATCTACTTTTCCGCACAACAATCGGAGATCCAATCGCCGCAACTTATGAAGGTAGCTCAGCAAAGGGCGATGCTGAAACATATATTTAGACCCAAAAACGTAGTCTGAGTTGTGCTATTAACCAAAATGCAAAATGTCATGCTTGCATTGCTTAATGACGCAACTCAGACTGCGTTTTTTGGTTTAAACTTATGTTCCGGCATCGGCATTCGCTGAGCTGCCTCCGTAAGTTGCGGTGATTGGCTCTCCGAGTATTGTACGAAAAAGAAGTCGCACGGGCTTTTTTAGAGTGTGCAGTTTCACTTAGCTCGCTGGAGGCTTCTGGTGGTAAAGGCTATGGGGCAGTCCTCTACCCTTGAGTCCCGATGAGCAAGGACACCTCCGAATCCACATGAATATGCATTATAACTGAAGATGACAACGTTCCTTGCACTGAAGTGTTGGAGCACTTGAGCAGATGTCGAGAACTCTTTACTCCTCTTCAATTAGTTATATATGCATCCTGCCTTCGCCATTCTTAATGCGAAAGCATTAACTGTCCCATGGAGCGAGCCGACGTCATCAGTTTGAAGCGCGAAAACGGCACCTAGTTTCCGCGATTCCAATAGGAGCGGAGTTAAGCTGATGAATTTTCCGCTTCGGTCCCATTGTCTGACGCGCGACGACCATGCTCCTATTGGCCGCTGCGCGTCACTTTGTGTGGTGTCATCCTGACTGTGTTATAGCACTGTTGTGTTTTCACTGACCTGTCATACTTACAGACCCGTGCGCATGCCCGCGTTTGCTTGCCTCTTATCGGTTGTACTGTGCGCGGCAATATATACGGCGCATGGAATAATCCAAGTGGTTCGTTCTGCTGGGAACTACGTTGCTGTCTGTTCCTGCCTCGCGCCGCAAGGCACATGACAGTTTGAAGGATCGCTAAGCCGATGGCGCTGAGCGTCAGCGAGGCAGCGGCTCCATCGTGCCACGCCCAAGGGCCGCGCGTTGTACGTCGCAGATTAAAGAAGAGAGCGGAGAGCGGCGTGCGTGCTTTCGCGTTCACAGCTCATAAGAAGTGCTTAGGTGTACTTCGAGCCTTTTTGTTAGCATTGGGTAATACAACGGTAAAAGAACTGATGACAGGTTGGGAAGAAAATGGCGGTAGTATTTTATAAGCCCAGTGCAGCTTTAAAGCTTCTTGGGGTCAACTGGTCGAGCAGCATTCATAATAGGCTCAAACGTTCGTTAAGTTGGTTTCAGTCCTCCCGCTTTGAAAATATGACCGAGTTACTCAACTTCGGGGAAAACTAATGTACATCCTTCCAATTTGAGTTTGAGTCCTGCTCCATCCAGACGCAGAAGTTTTCGTTCCAGCTTCTCCAGGCGGCCTTCGTCATAGCGGCTCTCACCAAAATACCGTCGAAATAACGACGAGGGGCCATGTCCTGCAGGAGGTTTATCATTTATTTCTGAAAGATCGCAGGAGCTGAGGTCACTCTGAATGGTAGTATGGCGCATTTAAAGAGATCCTTTGGAGTATTGATGGTGACAATCTTTTGGGACTCAGGCTCAATTTTCAACCTGTTGGTATGGTATGCGTCCTTCAGGTCCAGCTTGGAGAACTTGAAATCTCCTAAAAAGCATGGAAAATCGTTCCAGCGTGTGTACTGGCCGAGAATGCCGAACGCTTTTCTATTTCTCGTGCCACTGAAATATGGCTTAACTGGCATCATCATCACAGTATCTAGGTGGTCATTTAATTTGCAGAACAGGCACTGCTTGTTAGTGATGTGGGTTTCTTTAACAAATATACTTGTCGAAGATGGGTATTGCGTTAGTTGGTCTCTTATATTGGAAGCAGACCTAGCCGGATTGCTA